ACACGGGCGTGGCTGGAAATCCCCCTCCCTCCCTTCGCTTCGCCCCCTTAACCCCTTCCCTGACCACCCCGCGGGGATGGGCCGGGCGAGTTGCTCTCAAAGACACTCTCCAATTCCAAGTGGCGTGGCGTGGCGTGGCTTGGCGTGGCTTGGCTCGGCGTGGCGTGGCGTGGCGTGGTTCGTTGCCGTCGGGCTATATGCGTTGATCACAGGGAGAGCACGCCCCCCGCGACGTTCGCCTCGTTGCGCGTCGTCCTGGAGGCTGCCAGCTCCCTGACGAGCGTCGAGCGGGCCTCGGTCTGAAGCGAGGTCTGAAGCGCCGCGGGGCGCCGGTGTCCCCCGCAGGGTCCGTTCATTCTCGCAGGGGATCGGGATTTACCGAGTTTCACGCGGCGTCCACAAGACGCCCCTTTCCCCAAAGCGACTTTTGTGAGAACTCGCGTTTTTTGGGGACCATCCCTGTGCGAGGATCCCGCTTATAGAGTCGTCCCAGCAAAACTTCTCGATTGGGCGACCGTCACGGCGCAGCCTTTGCGCATAGCCTTAGCCGAAAAGTTTGGCTGGGACGACCATAGTTGGCGTAGATTTAGAGTTTAAGCTCATCCTGTGCAACTATGTTCATCCCAGCCAAAATTCTCGACTAATGCGACACGAAAAATGCTGCGCCGTACCGATCGCCCAATCGAGAAGTTTGGCTGGGACGACTATACCATTTAATAAAACCGCGTTACCGAAGTGACGACGATGCGACGGTGTGACTGTGTAGCCGGCACGCACCGAGTCAGTGACGTCAATGTCGGCAAGGGGAGGTGGCGGTGGTGTACTGCGCAAATCATCCTGTTGCTTATAGGGGATGATAGTTTGCTTAGTACGCTTGGTCGAAGTCGGCACCGGACGGTGGTGTGCGTTGTTTTTGTTGTCGGTGTCACTATACGCCGCCTCCTGTCACTGCGTCGCAGTGGTCCCGGACCTGGCATGCACCCCGTCCCCACGTCACGGTGGATGGCGCAAGGAGATGCAACCCTCGTGGCCTCATCCTGACCTGCCCCTGGGCGTCCCGACTCACCGTGTCCGCCGCCGGGCCTGCTGGGCCTGCCGGGCAGGGGCAGGCACACTTCCCTCGTGGTGGCCCCAGGGTGTCCTCGAGGTGGCCCGTTTGGTGGAGGACACCCTTCCCTTCACATGGCACGCGAGGGCGACCCGGGCCTGCTCCGGCTCGGCTACCTCAGCTCCGGGCGGCTCCGGGCACCACCAGGCGGGGCCGCTAGGCCCGCAAGGGCGCGGCGCGGCGGGCTCGACTCCGGGGCTCCGCTCCGGTGGGGCGGGAGGGGCGGCTGGTGCCTCCTGCCGGTGGGGTGCGCTGTGTGACTGAGGCCCTGGCTTGCGGGGTGTACGGGGCGCTGCTCTAGCCATGGCACAAGCAGCCCCTGCTGGGGTGGGGAGAGTCGCTCCTCCCCGCCCCCCTCCCGCAACCCAACCCAGCCAACCCTTACTTTCGTAGCCTCCCACCCCCATCCACCCCGCTCCACACTACGTGGGTCGATCGCTGTCTTGTTTGGACGGCCCGCCGCCCGCCAGGCCGCCCGCCGCTGCAGTTTGGAGTCTCCTCCTTCACTTCTATTTCTCTCCACCTGTCACTCCCTCTCATTTGACTCGTTCATTTCTCTCCTTCCCCAAACCCTTTTGGTATGGTTGCTTTTTATTGTTCAGGTATTAAAGGCAAAACGGCTAAGGCGAAGTTTGCCAATTTCTGGATCGAATATTCCACTCACAAAGATGGTGCATACTGGCAAAACAAAACATTTTCTGCTGCCTACGTTTACATTGCCTCTTTTTTCTTTTTGTTTTGCTACTAGTAGCAAGCACTTTCGTCTTGCGCCCCAAATTGAATAGAAACTCCATAATGATGCTTTCCTCAAACATGTCTCACGTAGCAAATCGAACTGAAAAAAACGCGGAACAAGCTACCAACTTTTGAGTACCAATAACGTTTCATTATCTTTCTGAGTACAAAGTCCACTACTTCGCCAACTTATCTGTATCGCGTGTTTCCATTGTGTACATAGCATCCCTTTTTTCTGCGATAGTAAATCCAAGGTGATCTTGTATTTTATACAAAGTCTAACTCTGTAACATTGGTACGCGTAACCAAAACAGCACACAAGAAGCTCACACAGTAACGCAACATAACCTCGTCGAGGTCCGTTCGTCTGCAGAGGTGCATTGTGACATTTTCGTTATCTATGGGTTTTTAAAAGTTGATATCAAAAGTGGAAAGCTGATCTGTGCCGAACTATCGAAGATCTAAGGGGATGTATTCAATCACTGTTACGTATGGAACAGTACAACGACGATTTCGCATGTACTAGTAAACTTCAGTCTGCCTTTGATAAGGTTACTCGCTTTACATTATTATAAATGTAGTTTTATGTTCGCTCCGGTGATTTGCCGGAAAATTTACCATTGAAATGAGAAAGAAACTTAGTGACGAAGCAAAGTCGCCAATTTTCTTCAGACAACAAGGCTCGAAAACAGATCATGGAAAAAAGAAGTGTTGAGGTGCAAGTTGGTTTGGACAGTGATTTTGCACTGTTACTCCGAGAGTCATTGGCATATGAAATAAAAATGGAATCAAGATCCAAAAGCAAGCTACGTGGTTTTATACCCATCTGCCTCCTACTGGCTGTAGGCGGTATCGTTTATGTTGGTTACTTCTGCCCTGACCATGTCTGTGCATTGACTTCTCGAGATTCAAGCTGGACAGACTTGACTGCAAAGGTTCCCTTACAAGACAACCTTGGGAAACCCTTAATGATTCATTCTAACCCTGTAAATCTTAAAGCAACCAATCCAGGGTTAAGTTATGATGATGTCTTCAATGAAAACTTTCAGTTTGACATGAATGCCCATGATGTCATGGTATTTTTACACATTCAAAAGACTGGAGGAACATCATTTGGAAGACATTTGGTCCAAGATTTGGATCTTCAACGACCTTGTAGTTGTCAACGGAAACGGAAAAGATGTCATTGTTTCCGCCCTAACCGGAATGAAAACTGGTTATTCAGCCGATATTCGACTGGATGGAAGTGTGGCTTGCATGCTGATTGGACCGAACTCACTAGCTGTGTAGATTCGGAACTTGATAAAAATGAAGGAGATTCTGTTAAAAGAAGGTAATGGTGTTCATTGTGCAGAGCTTTTACTTTTGTGAAAGTTATCAACTAACTGACACTGAATTTTCCAGGTACTTTTACATTACCTTACTAAGGGAGCCCATAAGTCGATATTTATCAGAATTTCGGCATGTTCAAAGGGGAGCCACATGGAAAAACTCCAGACACTTCTGTGGTGGACGAACTCCTACTCATGACGAGTTACCTCAGTGTTACAAGGGAGATGCATGGCTTGATGTCTCTCTAGATGAGTTTGCTGCATGTCCTCACAACTTGGCTGCAAATCGGTAAGTTTTCTAGTACTTTGAAACTCATTATGTTGAATCGCCATAACTCATTAATCTTGAAAATTATATTCTAAATGAAAATTATACCAAATGTTTCTTGGATTATAGGCAAACTAGAATGTTGTCCGATCTTGCTCTTATTGGATGTTATAACATGTCCTACATGCCTTCCGTTGAGGAAAGAAATAGAGTCATGTTGGCAAGTGCCAAAAAAAATCTTGCTTCCATGGCATTTTTTGGATTAACTGAACATCAAAAGGTATCATGTGTGACTTTTCTTTTTCTCCAAAATATAGAATCCTGTCTTTATTTAATTTTAAATATTTTCTTTTCACAGGAGAGTCAGTATGTATTTGAGGAAACTTTTAACCTCCGATTTGCTGTTCCTTTTGATCAACACAATGCAACAGTTTCTAGTTTTACTTTATCAACACTTCGCCCTGACCAAGTGGATACTATTAAAAAGTTGAATGCATTAGATCTTGAACTCTATGAATTTGCACGGAAACTTATGTATCAAAGGTTTGCCAGATTGAAGGACCGTGATTCTCAGTTTGAAGATAGATTTGCCCATTTAGGTGAATTGAGAGGCCGTGGAGGAGTTGAGCTTGACTGGGACAAAATGCTTGATGAGGATGAAGATACAACATCATCAGCAGTCAATACATAACAATGTACATGAACCTCTGTACTTTTTACCCCATTGATGTTCAATGACAACTGAATCTGTCAGAAACAACGACCTTGTTCCATTGGTAAGACTGAAGAAAGGTATCGTGTATTTTTGTGTTACAACAAAAACACTTAATCTGGATTCCTAACAAAAATGATTGCAGTTGGTGTAGCATTCCCCTTCTCGACAATCATAAGTCATAGAAGTGACAGTTTGTTGTTATTTTCAAATATTCTCTGTTGAGTGCCATAAACCTAAGAATAATCTAAGTTAGTTTAAAAGCAAATGTAGTGCGAGCCACTTAGGCTAAATTTTTCAGATTCTCAACATCAAAACTTGTTTGAGACGCCATCTCTTTATTTATTATCAGTGTTTGCTGGAAATTTTCTGTAACTGTTAGTGTTTTGTGGTATGTGAGTATCAGTATAACTCTAGTTTTCGAATCAACCAGAAAGATGGGCTAGTTCTGACGATAACTGCTCAATCTTCAAATACTTCCACAGTAAAGCTAATATTCAAACAACTTCTAGGTATGCTACAAAATTTAACTTCCTGCTTTTTCCTGTATTAAAAAAAATGTTTAGTAGTCATTTTCTGTTAAAAATATTGGTAAAATTTGTTCTCTAAACTCGTAAATGTTGTTTTCCCTTCCATGTTATATTGTGTTCATTGAGTGCTTCCATTTGTTGATTTTATCCTACTCAGTTATAATAAGCTGCATCCCAAACTTTGGCTGAAAATGGATGGGAAATAGTCCCATAAGACTCCTGCTTAAATGTGCCACTGTGTCAGTCACACCTCAGTTTCTGACCCTCAGAGTTTTTCAAAGAGATGGGGCTTTTACCCATGTCAAGACAGTGCTTGTTTTGATGTGTTATCTTAATGAGATAAATTTCCCTCTTGCTCTCGCTATGCTCTCGCTTTGCTCTCGCTATGCTCTCACTTTATCTCTCTAGTAATACACAGTAAATCTCCAAATTTTATCACTTCAACAAAAAATTTTTTTGATTGTAGCATGTCTTAAAACAGTATTTATTTTTCTATCGAAGTATGCACAGAATGGAAACTGCTTCGCTTTATCCATATACCATATCAAATCCTACTACACCAAGACTCAAGTCAATGTCAAAGCCAAAGTTGGTCAAGCTCGAACAGCCGTAGCTCATTACTTAACAAGCTATTAGTTGGCCTGGTCTAACTTAATGGAACTCAATCCCTTATGTTAATGCTCTTTTTTATTTTTTAATGAATAATGCAGCTGTGAATGTGATCATAACAATGTTTTTTTGTCTGTTGTAGATAGGTTGTGGTGTTGGTTCTCACAAATTGCATATTTTTGTTCATGTATTCTTTTAAAAGAGGAGGGTCGTGTTACCTGTATATATTTCCCTAGGTTCAATATATTTTTTATTTTTATGTCATTGCACCGGTTTCACAAACATTGTGCCATTAAGTCATACATGCACTTGTTTTGTGGCAGACCAGTGTTACCCATTTAAACTGTTATGTTAGCAGTAAAACCTTGTTTCTATTGTATGTGCTTTATACGTTGTTGTATTTATTGTGATATTTTTCTTTCAGTTCATTTGTGTACCTTTATGTATCTTACTTTGCCTTTGAACAAGACATCCCTGTATACAGTAATAATGTTACATGCTCCAAAAGTTAGATACTCCTCATACTTGATTTCAAGCGGTTTTTTCCCCTCGTTTTTTTAGTTAACAATGTAAAGAAAATATGGTCCATTTAGTACCTAGAATTGTGTCTCACTAGTTGTGTCCATTGCTCAAGTAATGGAGGAGCTTCTTGCAGTATACAATTGTCATCTAAAAAAAAAATTAACTGGAAATCACTCTTTAAGCATGTTAATCAATTCTAAATCAGTGGTCAGATTCTAATCATTGATGTAACCCTCACAAAAAGGAGTAGTGTTTTGTTGCAGCAGTGACAATTGTAATCTAGATATTGTGAACCATATCTTATCTTTAAATACAGAGAACTGTAGTTTGGTGGGAAATGTGTTCCATGAGGACTTAAGTTTTCCTGTTCAGTGCAGGTCAGTGCAGCTAATTTTACCTAACAATCTCTCCATTCAGACCCAGTATAAGAATGTGGTCAATGACTGTTTACAATGTAAATGAAATGAGAGTGTGATAAATTAATTTCATAGTTTAAGATGTCTATTTATCTCTTAATGAGAAATGTGTCTACAGTGCATGCTTTAGTGTACTGAAGTGACTGTATAAATGTTTTCTATTGGACTGGGCATGTGCTCTGAATCTCACAATAGTGCCACTTCATCTTTGATCACTCTTCTGATGTGAGTTAAATTAGATTTGGTTGTATTCCTAATGTATTTTTCCACAGCAAACCATATCTTTGTCAGGTAGACTATAAAGAAATTTGTTTTGTTCTAAATTTTTTCTGTTCAACTCAGATTTCCTATCTATTTTTGGTACATTAGTTATGACAATATGCAATGTTGCTTTTGGTTGCTCTTTGTTAACTCAACCAGAATTTGCCATTTTTTGTGGTTGTTTTGTATTTTATTACAGTGAAAATGTTGCATATCTCTCTGCTAAGTTTCTTGTAGTCTAATTTTGGCAAATATTGGGATAACATCTTCAATTAATTAATCTGGAAATTTCCTCACTCTTACGAAAATGTTTGATGGTTCACAAGGTTCAGATTTTTATTGAATTTGCTTTAAAATAACTTTTTAATTGCCCGATCAAAGCATAATGGTCAATCTAAATGGGCGAGATGTGAATTGGGGTAGTCACCAAACCCTTTCAACATTTAGTGCATTTTGGTGAGTGTCCCAAGTCATACTAGCCTGGTACTATTCCTCATTGTCTAAATGTATGTATGCAAAGTTAACAACTTTTTTTATAATTTATAAAATATGTGTAACAATGAAAGATTTCAAAAATAATATTAAAATACCCAGAAATATTTGACAGTAAAGAATTCGTTGCTATCTATTCCTCGGTTTTCAACTCATTTCAGCAGATATAGGGAATCATTGGGCTGCGTATTGTACTCTTACACATGTCCTATTATGATCCGGGATTCAAGTTCGACTGGAATATCAGAGGCCTCGGTGTTTCAGGTGTTTCTTTTGCTGCACTCTGACTTCAAGTCTTCAAGTTGACTTCCCTCCGCCAAGAACATGTTTTTGAGTGCCGACCGCGCGAGATGAAGGCGCTAGTGCTGCCCTCTGATCTCGTGATTGGATTGAACCAATCAGCTTACACCTTGTGTCAACTTCGGGATAACAAACATTACAATAATACAAAGCTTAAAGTTTGGAACCTAATCACCCAGACAATCGTGTGCAAGATTCGTATAACTCAACCCTGACATGCTGGCCATTTTATTTTACTTTGATGATTAATGGAGACAGTTGTGAAAGCTGTGAAGGTAAACCTAACTCTATTCGTATACACGTTCAAGTTTCCAGCCCTGTTGAAAATAAACCAATCCACGCTAGAGAGAGAAGGAAAAACTTTAGTCGGTGGCAATGATTGTTTAGGTCAATTTTAAAGCAATTTTAAAGGTAAGCAACTCTGGTCATATTTCCTTTATCGTCGTTTTTGTTTACCCAATAGATTTGTAGTTGTCGTATTTATGTTCGTTCTGCAAATTGGTTTACTGTGGACACTTGACTCATCCGGCTGCTCCGGCTGCTCGGTCTTTGTACAACCAGATCTTTAAACTAACTGCAAATTCGGTACTAAGAGTACTTTGCTATTGAATGAATGATAATTTATATGAAGTTCTTTTCTTATCAGTGCTCCGGATTGAACTCCTCTATGCCTATTCAAAGTTCCTTAACCTTTCCTTTCTATGACAGTACCTTGCAGCAGTCATCTTTTACAAATTTGTCATGTCCGGATGGAATCGTAAAGAAATTTTGATGACACTGTTTTTCAAATTGATAGTTAACAATATCATCCATCTCTGGTTTTTTCTACATTCTGTTTAATTTTATTGTTGTAGATGCCACATTGTAACTTAACATATTTGCCATAATATAATATTCAAACACACCTGTCTGTTGCAGATGACTGTTAAATTATGGGCTGTGGTCGCTATAGCGGCCCTCATGCCTCATGTCTTATACTGTGCATCTCCAGGCAAAAAAACAAAGTCTGTCACAACTTTGATTAACTCCAAGTGGGAGGCTACTCCATTCACCCTTGAGATTGCTGAATACTTAGCCGAAGAAAATAAAGACAGTTTGTGGAACTTTATTGACGAAGTTAGCGCTCTCTCTCCACCATTAGTTGATTTAGGTAAGCTCATCAGTATAGAAGTTCATGTAAATAATAGACTACATGATGCCTGCTTTAATATTGGAAAATACTTACAATGTTTGATATTTTTGATAACTTTCCCAGGAACTGATCAACAAATTTATGAAAAGGCACTTGCTGTAGGAAGCCGATTTATATCTAGTTCTCAATCTCAGCTTCTGAAGCTTGCTTTGTCTCTTCATATTTATGCTCCAAAAATTGAAATGTATTCTCAAATGGCTAAAGAGCATGGTGTTGTAGACAAGGGTTGTCCCTGTGCCGTTCTGTTAAATGGGAGACTCATATGTCATCCTTCACAGCTGGAAGAGAGCATTGCCAACGAATTGGTAAGTATGATTTAAGGACCATTAATTATCCGAAACAAGCTGATTTAAATGAAATTTTATCAATTATTACTTTGATTAGGAGTCTACAAACAAGGTACCCAGTGAATCATTTAGAGTGGATCATCATTATCCTGGATCAGAAAACCGTAGTTTGGTTGCAGTCTTATATGGTGAGATCGGCACATACGAATTCGCCCAGTTTCATAAAGTTCTCAAAACGCAAGCTTCAGAAGGAAAACTTGGATATATCCTGCGGCACTATGTCAAGGTTTGCTACTCATTTTTTGTTCAGATGTTTACTTTCATTACTGTTGAAAATTCTTGTGGGTGTAAACTAATAACAGTTTAATAATATCTTTCCTTCATCACTCTCCCTTTGGATAACTTACAGGAGAGGCCCAACCGCAAACTAAGACTGTCAGGCTATGGCGTTGAACTTCAAATGAAATCTACTGAGTACAAGGCCCAAGATGATACAGAAGTGAAAGGAGGTGCAGAAGGTGATGGTTCTCAGGAGGAAAAAGAAGATGAAGAAATAGAGGGATTTAATTTTAATGTTTTAAAGTAAGATTTCTCTCGAACAGATTGCATCAATCTGATTTCTGGCCCTTCTGGCCATTTCATTCATTGAGTTGGAGGTTTAGATGCTTATTTTATGTTATTTTCTAGATCTTTGTACCCTGATAAAATTGAGAACCTAGACAAGTTTAGGCAGGGACTAATTGAATCAAGTAATGAAATGGCCCCCCTCAAAGCTTGGCAGTTTCAAGAGCTGAGCTTGCAAGCCGCTGAAAGGATCATGAGCTCATCAAAAGATGAAGCTCTTCATGTTCTAACTCACATTGCTCAAAATTTTCCTCTTCAGGTTAGTCTAACTCTACAGTTACCTATTTCAAATTATACTCGTTGTTCCTCCTTTACAGTAAGTTTTTCTGGTACAGTATCTATTCTTGATCTTAACGCTTTACTTATGGCATTCAATATTAATTTTTTTAGGCACGCACACTTGTTAGAACTGTTGTCAATCCAGAACTCAAAAAAGAAATGAAACAAAATCAAGATCTTTTCTCCACATCTCTAAATCTTCAACCTCAAGATACTGCAATATTTGTAAATGGAATGTTCTTTGATCTGGATGTTGTTGATGTCATTTCTCTCCTTGAAATTATTCGACAGGAGCAACGTCTCATGCAGGGTCTTCATACTATAGGTACCTTGATGAAGTGAAAATTGAAAGCTTTAGCCTTGTGTTTATTCTGCAACTTCTTATATCCCTTTTGTTATGTTGCAGGGGTGTCTGATAAGAAAATGAATGCTCTAATGTCCTTGGATCTCTCCTCTGGACTTGGAGGTAACACAGAGTATGGCATTGACATTCGTGACTCAGCTGTATTTTGGGTTAATGACATAGAAAATGACAAAGCCTACAAACGATGGCCATCACCACTTAGAGATCTGTTGAGACCAACATTCCCGGGAATGCTACGAAGCATCCGGAGAAATCTCTTCAATTTAGTTATTATTGCTGATCCATCCAAGTTGAATTCATTCTCAATTTTGAAGTTAGCTGAATCTTTTATTCACCATCAATCTCCTTTGCATATTGGAATAGTACTTGCTACTTCTCCAGATTCAAAACAAACCGGTCTTACAGATGCTAGTGTTGCTCTTCTGAATGGATACAACTATGCTGTTGAAAACGGGTCTCCAAGTGATGGGCTTAGTTTCCTTACTGATGTTTATGCTGCAATCAAAACTGAAAATAGAGATGTGAAGGTGGAAGATGTTCACAAAAAATTGAAATCAAAGTACAAGGGCGTTGACCTAGAAGATGTATTCGGTGCTGACTCAGATTACAACACTGGACGAAAGTTGGCTAGGGAATTTGTTGAGCGAAGTGGGTTCCGTAATCTACCTCAGGCTCTGATGAATGGAATTCCTTTATCAGATAAAATGCTTACTGCAGATGAATTTGAAGAGGCTGTACTCAGCGAAATAATGTCTCAGACACCCATCTATCAGAAAGCTGTTTACAAAGGTGAACTTCGTGATAGCGATAATGTAATTGACTTTATTATGGAGAGACCAAATATAATGCCGAGGTTGAATGAAAGAATTCTAAACTCCGAAAATAATCGTCAAATTGATTTAATGAGAACTGTGACTAGCGTGGAAGAGTCAATATCTCCTCCTGTCTTTTCATTATTGGGATCATCTGATCAGTCTGCACTTATGGTTTCTACTATGCGTTACTTCTCCCCTCGTAAACAGAGTAAAACCTATTTCCTCACTAACTGGATTGTAGCTGATCTAACAAGCTCTTGTGCTAAAGGTAGAAATCTGCTCCAGTCTGCCTTGAAACAGATGAAGAGTAGTGGTGCTGTGAGAGTTGGACTGATTGTTAATCCAATCGAAGGAAAGAGTAATGATCTTCTTAATCGCATTGCTCTAGCTGCATTAAAGGTGTTGTCCCCTGATGAAGCCACGACATTCATGTTGAAACTTTTGGATAGTAAGGAAGTAATTCAACAGTTATTAGCAGGTGAAAAGAAGCTCTCTGCCCTTGGTTTAACTGGTATTAATGTAGCAGCTGTTGAAACAGCGGCCGATACTAAACCAATCAAAGATAATATCAAGAGGCACATAATGTATGTGGAGCGGACATTGGGACTGAACAGTGGGGACACAGCAGTTGTTAGCAACGGACGTGTATTAGGTCCTTTAGAAACTACTGAAACATTCACCGTTGATGATTTTTCTCTATTGGAAAGGCACAGTTTTTCTACTCATATTGAGAAGATTAAAAGTGCCCTCCAGCCCTCTCCATCTGCCTCATTCTTTGATGAAGATGATATTGAAGATACAACGGAACTCACCAGTGATGTTGCTTTGAGAATAGTCAGCCTTCTCGTCTCTCATCCTCAAACAAGGTCACGCTTTGAGATTCCAACATTTACCACTGATCACAGTGTCATTAATATCCCAGCCTCAAGGCCAAAAGAACCAGCCATTCGTATTGATGTCATTGTGGATCCAGTATCCCGTGGAGCCCAGCGAATTGGACCAATCCTTACTACTTTCCAGACTGCTTTAAATTGTCACATTAGAGTGTTTTTAAATTCAGTTGAAAAGAACAGCGACATGCCTTTGAAGAGCTTCTATCGATTTGTTTTGGAACCTGAACTTCAATTTACCCCTGAAGGACAACTAACTGCAGGCCCCATAGCACGCTTCACAAATCTTCCTGAAGCTCCACTCCTCACTCAAAATTTGCAAGTTCCCGAAAATTGGCTTGTTGAGTCTGTTGCAAGTCCTTATGATCTTGACAATATAAGACTTGAGGATGTTGTTGGAAATGTTCACAGGTATGGATCCCCTTGAAAATATGGTTGATTGTCCTTTCATTTACATTTTGTTATAATACATTGTACTTTTTCTTTTCATGTAGTGAATATGAATTGGAGTACTTACTACTGGAAGGTCATTGCTTTGAAGCCATGACTGGCAATCCTCCTAGGGGATTACAGATTACTCTAGGAACAGAGAAAGAGCCTGTGAAAGTCGATACAATTGTCATGGCAAATTTGGGATACTTTCAGTTAAAGGCTAACCCTGGAGCCTGGGTATTACGATTACGACAAGGACGCTCTGCTGATCTGTTTGATATTGTCAGTCATGATGGATCTGATACACCACCAAATTCTACTGATATCAAAGTAGTTATCAGCTCTTTCCGGAGTCATGTTCTTAAACTGCGTGTTCAAAAGAAACCTGACAAGATGAATATTGACTTATTGTCAGAGGATGACGATGCCAATAATCCTGGCATTTGGAACTCAATCACTAGGTGAGCATTAGACTTTTAATGTTGATTGCTAACATTGAAGTAGAGTTGTGAAATCTCTAACCTCTTATTTTCTTCTTAGTACTTTTGGCAGTAACCCCAAACAAGGAGAAGAAGAACCTGAAGAAAAACTTAACATATTTTCCGTTGCTTCAGGCCACTTATATGAACGCTTTCTTCGTATTATGATGCTTAGTGTGTTGAAACAGACCAAAACTCCAGTCAAGTTTTGGTTCCTCAAGAACTATCTTTCTCCTACTTTTAAGGACTTCTTACCTCACATGGCTCGTGAATTTGGCTTTGAATATGAGTTAGTTCAGTATAAATGGCCACGCTGGTTGCATCAGCAAACTGAAAAACAAAGAATTATTTGGGGTTACAAGATTTTGTTCCTTGATGTCCTTTTCCCTCTTGATGTGAAGAAATTCATCTTTGTTGATGCAGATCAGGTATGCATAAGATATAGTAATTCTTTATGAACTCAGTTCACTAGCTGATGACCATGACCAACCTAACATTTTTTACATTTCTTTCCTTTTAGGTTGTACGGGCTGATTTGAAAGAACTTCATGATCTTGATTTGGGCGGTGCTCCATATGGTTACACACCATTCTGTGAGAGCCGGAAGGAAATGGATGGGTTTAGGTTAGTTTGAATTTACTGTATTTCTATAGGAAGGGCGATACAGTTCATTTCTCCATGCATGTACCACCTCACAAGTGCTATGTTATTCAGGTTCTGGAAACAAGGATACTGGCGAAGTCATTTGCAGGGGCGCCGGTACCACATTAGTGCCCTGTATGTTGTTGACCTAAAACGGTTCCGTCGCATAGCAGCAGGAGATCGTTTGAGAGGACAGTATCAAGCTCTCAGTCAGGATCCCAACAGTTTATCAAATTTAGATCAGGTCTGGTGATCAAAATTTAGTTATATTCAAAGAAACACAAGAATGAAATGGCAACTAATAAGAATCTTTCTTTTCCAGGATCTTCCAAACAACATGATCCACCAGGTATCTATCAAGTCACTTCCACAAGAATGGCTGTGGTGTGAAACATGGTGTGATGATGCTTCCAAGCAAAATGCTAAAACTATTGATTTGGTTAGTTGTTTGCTTCTTTCCTTTGTTCAGTCTGGTCTGACTCTTTTATTGGTTGTAACATGTAACATCTTATTGCAGTGCAACAATCCCCTCACCAAAGAGGCCAAACTTACTGCAGCCATGAGAATTCTACCTGAATGGAAAGGCTATGATGAACAAATTAAAAAACTTCAACAGAAAGTTGAAAGTGAAGCCTTAGACGCCCATTCAGAATTCCACCATAGTCAACCTAGCAAATTGTCAAATAATGGTAAGAATATTGCGTGATCCGGTATAGTCCTATTTTGAAAGTTTGCGTTCCTTTGATTTCTGTAGACATAAATAGATATAGTTAATCTGTAGGATTACAAGTACACGGTATTTTCAAATTTATGTTAGTTTAGATTTGAATAATTGTTTATATTTTTCTGTTGACAGGTCATCTAGAAAAACACACTGAATTATGATGGAATTTAAGCAGCTAAGACTAGGAACTCTTCACACCTGATTTATCACCAAGAAATATTTTGCCCATGAATTGTAGGTACGAAACTTGATAAAATGTTAGCTAGAGATGTGGCAACACTCTAGTCATCTCACATTGATTCAAGCTTTATAAAAAAAGAAAACTGAAACTGCTACTTTGTCTTGTCTGAATAATAAAATCTACAAAAATTCTTGCTAATGGAAGAACTATACATATTTCTCATCTTTTCGGATGGAAGTTACTTATTCTTAGACCAATCTGCAAACCGAAATGTTAATTTTACTTTACCTGTCATATTTAGTTTAGAGACTTTTGTTTCACCTTGCTTTTGTTGTTCCTGTATATTGACTTTTATCTCAAGAATTTTGACTATCAAACACTTCTATAAACATCTATGGTGTGTGCCATTTTGTCATCTTGTTGAAGTAGGAAACTCGTGATATTAGCTCTGTTCTGTCTTTATTACTGTCTAAATCAGACAATTAGTTACGTACTTTTAAAAAAAACTTTTTTTGTCTCTTAAAATTTCTAGATAGTTTACATAATGTAAATAGAAATGCAACTGTAAACTTATTGTTTTCACCATGTTTTGCTTCTCATCTTTTATTTAAGGCTCATTCTTGTTGCTCATCAGGTGTGTGTGTGTGTGTGCTGCGGGAATTTTATCTTACAGTGAAAAATGAAATTTATTAACAGTTTGTGTAGTCTAGGTAATTAGAACCAATCATCCGTATGGTAAGTTTGCTACAACTCTATTAGTCAGAGTTTTTTTTTTCTTTTTACTTATAAATCCCTTACTTCCTCTGCCTTTTGAGTTTGAGTTTTCTTTTAATTTGCACTTTATTCTGAGTACTGTGCGCCCACTGTTTATATGGTTCTGTAAATGTCTCTTATCTTACAAAATCTCCAAATTACATTTAATTGTAATTTATTTTCTTATCTGCAGAATATTTTGATTGTGATGCACGTAATTTTACCTGTGCCTGATGATTTGTGATACAATATATGTTACAACTAGTTTGATTGTTCATGGTAATACACTGTTGAGGATTTTAAGGCTCAGACTTAAGATGATTGATTATTCCAACTCATGACTGATGTGATGATGTGAGAAAGTATTTCTATTGTGATTTTACTGATAAATAAAAGGCGAAAGAATCGTAGTTTTCTGAAGTGGACTGTTTCATTGAGTTGGCACCTTTACCTTTAAACAAATAAGTGCCTCTAATGTTAATGACAGTATGCCCCCATTTTTTTTTTTTTTTTTTCTTTTGGCCTCATGGGGGAATTAGCCTTGAGCATTTACGGCGCCAAGCGGACTTTTATGTGTTGTCTTTGTGGCTGTGGCTGTGAGCGCGGGTAGGGGGGGGGGGGGGATAGGGGGGTAGGCAATTAGCACTCTAGTGGGTTGGGGGCTCCCGCGCCCCCATAGTATTTGTTGCGTACGGGTACGGGGCTGCGGCCCACTATAGGACTCTAACTGCGGCTGGATGTTGCATGGATCAGGAA